GGACAAAAGGTTTTGGGGATGGTGGCGGCGGCTACCCAACACTGTGGATGTAATCGATGTCACTGAATCGTACACTTAAAAGTGGCTAAAATGGCAAATCCATGTGATATATACCCTACTACAATTTTAAAAATGAGTAATGTAATATACCCAAACGCACTGAGTTGTATATTTTAAGGGGAGAGGATTATATGACGTGTGGACTCTGGCTCGACGAAGCTGTTTTTTAAAAAAAGAAATACCAGGGGCGCCTGGGTGGCGCAGTCGGTTAAGCGTCCGACTTCAGCCAGGTCACGATCTCGCGGTCCGTGAGTTCGAGCCCCGCGTTGGGCTCTGGGCTGATGGCTCGGAGCCTGGAGCCTGTTTCCGATTCTGTGTCTCCCTCTCTCTCTGCCCCTCCCCCGTTCATGCTCTGTCTCTCTCTGTCCCAAAAATAAATAAACGTTGAAAAAAAAAAAAATTTAAAAAAAAAAAAGAAATACCATCCAAGTCGTTGTAAATCTTCTAGTCATATTTTAAAAGGTTAAAAAAAAAAGGCGAACTTAATAGTGTATTTTATTGAACCCACTATACCCCAAACACTGTAATTTCAACGTTATCACCAGTCCTGTATGTGTAATGGGACAAATTACACTTTTTTTTTTTTTAATCCCGAGTCTTCAAGATTTCGTGTGGATTTTACACACTCACAGGACATCCCGTCTTGCCACATTATGAGTGTTCAAGGGCCACATGAAGGGAGTGGCCACTATTGGGCAGCAAAGGTCTGGACCCTCGCTACTCAAAGGGTGGTCCGCAGACCAGCCACACCAGCATCACCTTGGGGCTTGCTCAAAATACAAGATCTTGGGCCTCACAGCGGACATACAGAATGGGAATCTGCATTTTAAGAAATTCCCTGGCTGTTGTGGACGCATATTAAATTTCGAGATGCACCGCTCTGGAATGCAGGCTTGTCCCCAGCCTTTCCTCTAGTTCCCCATGTGCTAACGCACACTGGGATTCTGGAAGCCCCCGCTCCTCAAGCGTGACCCACTGGAGGGGCAAACCCAAGACCCCAGAGGTAAGCCTGGAGTTAGCTGCTCGTATGCACAACATGCTGGCTGCATCTGGGACCTCCTGGTTGGTACCCTCCATGGATTACAAAGGCCTGGAAAGGACCCAGATCCTGAGTCTCCTTTGGCCAAACCCTCTGCCGATCTGACGCTGACCCAGGAGGCTTCTAGAAGGACTCCAGCATTGACTACACCACCAGGGTGACCATCTCAAAGCCAGATGAGTGTGACCAAGGGAACCATAAGGGCTGATGTTGTGGGGAGAGAAAATTCCGGATTAGGGAGCTGGAGCCTGACTTGCGTTCCCAACTTCGTTAACAACACCCCCTGTGGATGTGGTTGAGTTTCATGATTCATAGTTCCTCCATACGTAAAAGAAGGTTGGATTAATCTGGAATGGCCAAGGAAAGCATCCCGTGCATTGATTCTGAGTAACTGGCTCAGTAAGTGGCTAGCAGAAGGGCTGAGTGATGGTGGTTGTGCTGTGATAGATTAGCCATGTCTGCCACGGGTGCAGGAATAGGGCACAGACACCACACACATTTGCATCCACCGGGGAGGTAATCCCCAGGACTTTTCTACTTTGACAGTGAGAAGCAAAGAGGTCTTCTGTTCCTTTCAGGTCTCGATTCATAGTGTCTTTTTATATTCCCTCTCCCTGAGGGGTTATGATGTGGCCAAGAAAATGGCCACGCTAGGCAATAAACAGAGTAGCAAAGTCAGTAGGGACAGAGGTGGGAATTGCCCTCCGATCTCTGGACCCCCAAACCCAATGCCAGCTATTCCACAAAGGAAAAGCCTTCCACATCCCCCCCTCCCCCCGCCCCGACAACCTTCACTCA